GTACGATAACAGATTGAAGAGTGGGTCGGAGGCGGTCGAGGGTGACAGTGGTGTAAACTACTGCTGCGTGGAACAAAATGTGACTGCACTCAGGAGGTGAGAGACTTGGCAGGAAGACGGCGGCAGAGACAGAGTGTCCAACTCACAGATTATAAACATATACATTTATGAAAAAAAATAAATAAATAAACCAACGCTGGAAACAAACACTTTTTGTTGTTGAAATTACACACACTAACTCAACAGTAAGTATGTGTGTGTGTGTGTGTGTGTGTGTGTGTTTTCTAGCCTTACCCTTTAGATGGATTTTATTTTCTGGGCTGTGCACCAACACCGAGCTGACTGAGTCCAGCCTATCATAGTTGCTGCAGCCAAGAGGCCCCGTCCGTGTCTCTGTTACCTGGGAAACAGAGAAGATACAGGGATCTCACTTTGTGTATTAAAAAAGCAGGTGGAACCACAGTGACCACAGTCGACGGTGTGTGTGTCTGTCAGAGGAGAGGCCTCGACCTGCACCTGCATCAACACCTGCCTGCAGTCTGAGCAGTCTGAAGGCCAGTGGAGAGAGAGAGAGAGAGAGAGTGTGTGTGTGTGAGAGAGAGAGGGTTTATTAAAGTATGTCGAGGGCAGCTGTGACCGTCTGTCAGAGATATTTAACCTACAATCAGGAACAGACTGTGGTTGACCCTGTGCTGCCATAAAACGGAGCTCAAACATCTAATTTCTAAAATTTCTAAATCATGTTAATAATTATAATAATAATACAAAGGTAAAGACCAACATGCAGCAAATAAAAACTCAGCTGTTTAACGTAGAAGCAGAAGTAAACACAGGCGGGTTGAAGACAGTGGAAGTGAAGTGAAAACACACGGGGAAATAAATAAATAAATGTCTGTTGAAAATGTTGACTGTCTCTTTAGAGGTGATGACAGCGAGACAAGGATCAGGAAATGTCAAAAAAAAAAAAAATATGTCAGCTCTCACGACATCATCCACCAGGAGGAGGTGCTACAACTAAGGTGAAGCCGGAGGGTGTGTGAATAAAATCTTCCTGTTCGTACCAAAATAGACACTTTTCTGCAGTTCAGTTCAGTGTTAAGTGTTTGGGAAAAGGTCGTTCAAGTGCTTCACACAAACACACACCGCTGTGGCAGCCACCAATTACAGTGGTTTGGAATGGTTACATTTACAAAAAAAAAAAAAAAAATCTATTGATGAAAATGATTTTCTCTACAGCTGAGTGATCACGGCACCGTCTAAAAAAAGCCTCGCAATTACATCACCGTGTTCTTCTGCGGCAGAAGAACGTTAATGAGTTTCTGGAGCAGAGCATTAACACAGCAGACAAAGAAAGAGGGAGGAATGGGCTACAAATATATGGTGGTGGTGGTGGTGGACCGGGCGCCCAGTGGATTAGTCTGCAGTGGGTTAATGTTCCCCTGCCTCCCACACACACACACTGGCGTTCACAGTCTAAGTGTTCTAGCTCTACAGCAGCTGCACCTTCTCTGACCTCAGACACGTCTCTGACTGATGTATAGTTACTGACGGTAACCAAGGTTACCTCACACTTATTAACAAATACAAAGACATTTTTGTATCTTATAAAGATATTGTTTCCCAAAGACTGGGTCGTGACCCTCAGGTGGGTCACGAGAGGGTTGGTTTTTTTTTTGGTCATCTTGCACTGTGTTTCCCAGGAGTTTACGAATCATGTCGAATAAAATTATGAATAAAGTTTGGGAAAGCGTGTTCTAAAGGTAGCTTACACATTTTGGAGCGTAGTCTTAAAACTGTAGTGACAACAGTGTTTACCTTGTTCTGAAAAACAAAGGCTGCAAATCCAACAGTGTCGTTGTTGTTGCTGTTGTTGTTGTTGTTAACTGCTCTCTTGGTTTGCTGTGAAAATCTAATGTCGACACTTCTTTAAATACATGCATACATGATAAATCACCTCAAGGAAATGAACAAGGAAAGAAAAGAACAGTTTTGGTTTTTTTTGCTTTAACAAATGAAGGTAGAAATGTACGAACAAAACACGGATTAAAATCATTTACTGCATTTCTAGAAAGTCTCACTCACTTTCCTGGAGCTGGAGTTTGTTGGTTGCAGCCCTGTGTTTGAGCTAATGCTCATTAGGTCAGTCAGACTCAATAAACGCATCGGTTTGTTCTCCTTATCAGATCTGAAGTCGGTGTGTTTTTTAATAACAGCTGCTGGAGTTCACTGCACTGTCGCTGCACTCGACTCGCTGAGGATGGATTTAAACTTCCTGCGTGATCTCCAATATTTGGCTCGCTGAGAAACTTCCTGCGTGATCTCCAATATTTGTCCAACATGGTGCACGACAAAGAAGCGGAGGATGAAATCAGTTTGTTTGCATTCAGAAGAGAGAGAGAGAGAGAGAGAGGTTCCCTTTGTTCCAAATGTGACTTTGAATTCCAGGGGAATCATGAAGGCACCAGGTAACGGCAGGTGGGATTAACATCAATCATTCAGAACACGCTCAGGAGACTGGACGATATGGTCTACAGCCTGTTGAAAATGTTAACTACTCCATATTATTGAACTGGATCATATTAGACGAGGCGTCCAGTATGAGCTGCACTGAAATATACATGAAAACTCACAGTGTCTCAGCCGCCTCCCCAAAACTCAAGAAAATAAAAAAAAACTCTCATTAATAATAAAATCGAGAATTTACTTTACCTTAACTTAGACATGACATTTAATGTGTCGAGTAAAAAAAAACAGGCCTTTGGTTGCAGGTTATTTTTAACTAATTTGTACAGTTTGTCTGATTCAGTCCTTCAGCTTCTTGTACTGACGCTGAAGTTAAAGTCTATGAGATAATCCTGACTAAACGAAGAACACATCCTCCAACCTCCTCCAGTCGCAGTTCTCTGATCCTTATTTTATGTTTTTCTAATTCTGAATGTGGTGTTATGGATTTCTAAACAAACCTGAGGACAGAATATATATTTTTCCCTGAGCACTATTGTACAGAAACACCATGAGTACTGCACACTTTGCAGAGCGGCGAATAAAGATTTTTATGGTCGGCACGAAAAAGCCGGTCGTCGTTTAGTTCCAACTGTGTGTCAGCAGTAAAGCAGGAACATCTTTCCCCTATTTTTCTTGTCTGAAGAAGATCCAGGTGAACGCCGAGCTCCGACGCCGTTAACAAACACACTGTGAACACTGCCCTGCCGCGCTGCTCCTCCAGTCTACACTGAATATGCAACGCTTTAATTCAGGCTGGCTTTTTGTTTTTTTAAAGAACAAAATGTCCTTGTGCTCTCCCACGAGCATTCATCTACCCTGCGACTTTACTGCTTGAAAACAACCATTAAAAAAAAGCCAGTCTATGTGTGTGCATAAGTTGAGAAAAATTGGAGCAATCTGTCACAGATGCAGCACAGAGATTATACCGCGTGTCCCAAAGGAAGAGTTCCATAGTCAGGTAAGTGTGTGTGTGTGTGTGTGTGTGTGTGTGTGTGTGTGTCACTGGCAGCAAACACACCGTATCCAGGCGTGAAAAACAAACACCATGTTTTTTG